CCAAAGAAAGATAAAATGAACTCAACCGACGTCGAAAAGGAGGACGGACTAGAGAATAGCTCCACGATAGTCGACACTGAAGACGAACCGAGCAGCATCGACGAAGAGATGGAGTCAAAAGAACACGAACCTGACAAGGTGGAGACCAAGATCGAAGTGCTCTGAATTAACATGATACGTGCGTCCATTCTGCTCGCTGTGCGGCCGATGTGCTTGAATCAGACACACCAGACTCTTGATGCCAATGCTACAAAACAGACAGAGAAACCAATGTCGAAGCCTTTGCCATTAAACCACTGTGTATGCTGAAATATATTCTACATGATGTACAAGTAACAAAATGAAGCCGCAACTTGTCTTTCGGTAAATATTTGGTGTTTCGAAGTGTGAAACTCTATAATGCAAGGGCAACCAAACTTTTCGCACTTTGAATGCCTGCGGTCTCTTGTTCTAAAGACTGATAAAAAAAAAAAGAAAAAGATGTCGCTATTTTCGGAGCAAAATCCCCAACTTGTTGAATTTGCATGCAGCGTCCAAGGGAGCGTAATGAGAACCCCATCGTATTCTTTGACATGTCGATAGGCGAGAAAAATGTCGGGAGACTGCTCATCGAGGTAGGCACTTTCAAACAATTGTTGTCATATGTATAACTTACCCCTTTTTGTATTTCACAGTTGCGAGCTGATGTCGCTCCCCGTACTGCTGAAAACTTCCGCCGACTGTGTACTGGTGAGACAAAAGAACCGCGGACTGGGCGGCGTCGACACTACGCACGCTGGTATGTTTGCCTTTGATTCTATACGAGATTTGGAAAAGCAAACTCTTTCCGTGTTTTTAGTCCGTTTCATCGTGTTGTCAAAGACAAATTTTGCCAGTCAGGAGACTATGCTGTACGTTTACCATTCAACAAGAACACTGGTTTTCTTCTTATGTACAATAATCTGCTTTCCTTCTAGAATCACGATGGATCAGGTGGCGAGTGTACGTTTGGTCACAGCCCTCGTGCGACACAAGAAGATTCCACTTTACTAGAAGACAAACCTGCCCAATTGATTTCCCCATCATCAACATTTGACGATGAGAACTTCATCCTACGTCACACTGGTTCCGGCGTGCTATCGATGGCCAATTCTGGTCCAGACTCCAACACTTGCCAGTTTTATCTTCACTTTGGCCCGGTAAGATAATTTCACTGCCGAACATCTACCCAGTGATTTTTTACTTACGAGATAGATTATGTAGCAACCCAACTTCGACGGCAAACACGTTGTCTTCGGATATCTTATGGATACTGAGAGTTTTGCTGTGCTTGAACAGATAAACGCAGTAGCGACGGCTAGAGGTGATCCCAAACAGCCTGTCAAGATTTCTCGATCAGGGCAGCTCTTTCCAGCTTGAGTTTTGCGTCAATCCAACTACATAGTCTAATTCCATCTCAGTTTCCCAGTCGAATATCCATTCTTAGTTTTAGTTTTCCTTCCAGAAGAGAAAAGAGTGATGGAGCGACCAGTGCACGACTTGAAGACAATGGAGACGTTGTGTTGTACCTTAGACTACCCTGGAATTTCAGAAGAGGATCTGAATAAATACATTAAAGACCATGGACCACTGGTCAACCCAGTGTATGGTGAGGTGCATGGCTATTGGATCGATGGTGACTTCTTCACCCCGTATCGGAACGTTGTCCCAGGCTGCTGCGAATTAGCGCCTGAAATTGCGGTGTTACTGGGGCGTTGGATGGATTGGTCCGGAACCAGAAAACGAGGCACTATCCTTCTCTCAAAAGGAGGGTATATTTTCGATGAACGCACAAAAAGACCCACCACTGTGAGATCGCCTGACGTCACGTATACCCCACGTCATGCTACCAGAAACTCGGGGGATCTTGAGCTGTGGCAGCGTGGTCAAGAACCGTACGCTCCTTTGTTCGTCGTGGAAATCGACTACTTGTCGGGAGAAGATTCTCAATTTATCGCGCTCGATCAAAAAATGCGAAATCAGTTTTTCAGTCATGGAGTGCAGCTAGGCTGGCTGATCGATCCACGCCCTGGGTCCCGTAAAATGTTCGAGTACAAGCTTGACGAAGCTGGTAAAATGCATCGAGTGGACAACGAGGAGTGGAGAGACCTCGATGGCGGTGATGTGCTTCCAGGGTTCCGCGTTGACAAGACAGATTTAGAGATGCTCCTTGACCCAGATGGTTATGTTCCGCCCGACAACGACGAGATCGACATGATCTGCCCTTGTCGAGGATGTGACGAACGCCTCCGATCTCTTCCAGAGAGTATTGGTCATCTTGAAAGCCACAGAGCTGAACGCGAGAGGCAGAAGTATTTGGCCAAGCGTGCTGCACGCAAACGCATTCAGTTGCGGTTGTAACACCAAGAGGAAAGGGGCATCTTCGGTATCACTTTTTTGTGTTTCTTGATTTCCGAACCTTTCTCAAAATGTCGGAATTTTAACTTTGGATAATACAAACTTCAA